ACTTAGACAACTTACTGAAAGAAACTCCCGAGGGTGTTGATGTTTTCTCCTCTGTTAACAAGAAGGGGAAATTCTGGCCTGCAAGGACCGCGCAGAAGATATTTCTGAAAAATAAACACCCTGAATGAGGGTTAGCTAAACTGTAATGAAACTGTAATTTATTTTTCATTTCCAAGCCTTTGCATGGGGGCAGAGTGGGGTTAGTATCATCCTTTTTTCTTGTTGTTTTGGGAAAATATAGAAAAACAGCTTTCTTTTGCTAGTAAATTCTGTCTCATTATGATTTTAATTTTATAGCGCAAATAAAACCAGAAAGACATTTTGTACGGCTATCTTTAGCGTTCATTTAGAGTTGACATACATTTAGTGTGTAGGATTTTAGCCTTACCCAAGGCATTAATGTTTCATTTTACACAGCATCAGTGCATAATAACAAGGATGGGTGACTTAGATAGGTCTCATGCTTACATGGCACTTTGCTTTTCCTGTTCTCATGCTTGTGGTTGTTTTGGGTTTAATATCCAGTGTTCACAGTAGTGCAGTGTCCATGAGTAGAAGTCAAAGGTAAAGCTTTAGATATGAATCCTTATGGTGGCTTTGCTCTTAATAGAATATTAATATTAGTTAACCAGTCTTTTAACATTTTGAATCATCTTTTCCTCTTATTAATTTGAAGCATGTTATATTCTACTTCTTTCATTAATGCTTGTAACAAATGGGTTTTATTTTTTTCTATTTTTGCTAAATAGGCCGCATACATGTAAGGTTAAATGTAGTTTCCTGGTAATGTAAGATACATACACCAATGTTAAAACTGATTTGTGGTGTTTTCCTAATTTTGCTGACAATTTAAGACACAGGATGTTTAATGCAGACAATAAATATAAGCAGGTTACTGTCTGAAAGGCTGGAGCTAACTGCACATTTTAAGTAGTGTATAAAACATCGAGGGCTGTTGGGATATAAACAGTGCTGAGGCATATTCCTGGAAGTCCTTGTTCAGCTTTGGAAGGTTTAGTGGTAACGATGCATTAATTGACTTTTTACATGACAGAGTAATAGGATACTTAGATCTAAAAAAAGTCTTGACAGAGGTTTGGTAGACAATGGCATGTGGTTTATAGAAACAAGATTAGGGTGAAATTGTTTGAATCTTACTTGAAGGATAAGGAAAAAAGGAGGAGGAGGTTGCACATCAGAAGTGGCTTGGATCTTTTAAAAACCAGAGTCATTTGTAGTTCAAGTAGAAATGTTCTGTTTGTTTTTATTAAGACCTGAACTGTTTCTTAGCATTATGAGAGGTTCTATCCGTGCACTGTGCCTTTACACTCCCAATTTCTCTCGGAAGCTCTTGGGGAAAGGTTTTCTGCAAATCTAAAGACAAACTGGTTACTAATATGGGGAATCACTTAATCTTTTCTGTTGATTGAAAGGAATTTTGGTAGCCCTTTTCTGATTTTGTTCCTTGTTTTCGTTTTGCACTGCAAGGAGCATTCACTGAGCTTCATTTTGCAGGTGGTCGTAGAGTTTGCAAGACAAGTCTGTTAGCTACGTCTATGCCTGTGAGTGTCCTTTGGCTCCACTTTGATTTAGGAGCAATGTTTTCCTGGGATTAGTTTCACCATATATGATTATTCATCCATTCTATCCTTAACTAATTATGGTTTGTTAAGTATTTCAATTTTCATTAGCATTTTTTTAATGGAAGGTTGTTTTTAATTGGGATCACAACAGGAAAATCTTTTGACTCTTTTTTCAAGGTTGCATTTAAAGCTTGAGCTTTTGAAAATAATTTTATTTGATGTGAAGCTGACTGGATATAGGTTGTAGAATGAGAAAAATAAGTTTGATACTCTTGTTACCTACTCACTGCACAGACAGTTGGACAGACTTCAGCTTTATTTGCAAAAAAGAAGACATGATTTTGTTACATTCCAGGACCTGTTTCTGTTTGTTACAAAGAATCATTGATACTAAGTCTCACAACTGCTGAGAGTGTGCTTTTGAAATTGTTTCACATTCTCAAACATTAAAATGCTGTTTCACACTCAAACCTTATGAATGCACTGAAATTTTAGTATCGTTGAAATCTGTTTTTAAAATATTCTGTCCTGGCCAAAGACCACAAAAGAGGTCTTGGTTGTGTGGTTTCCTCCTCCTTTCCCTCGCTAACAGGGGTTTTCCTATCTTGGCAGCTGTTTCCTACAAAGGCAGTCATCAGTCCCTGATTTCTTCCTTCCCTTTCTTCCCACAAACAAGGACTCTTTCAAATAGCAGATGACTGAAGACAGACTGATCTGAAGTCGCTTTAAGAAAGTGGAAATGTGTTCAAGAGTTGTGCATGTGGGCCAGCAGCCTGTATGCATTAGTTCATTGAAACGAAAGTACCCATTACACCCAGGACTTGGACAGTCAGAATTCTTTGCTTGAATCAGGGGCATTCCAAAGGCTGACTTAATTCTGCTGGTAGTAATTAATGCACCTCCTGCACGCGTTAAAATTATTCTACTTGCTTGATCAGATCATTGAACAGTTTGTTAGGATATAAGAAATTGCTCGTTGCTTAGCCTTTTCGATGTGACAGGGCATGAGACTATCTGACTTCTCTTCATGCTTTATATAGAAGAGCGTGCGGTTTTAAGGCAGGGACTTTGCCACAGCGGTTGTCAACTGCAGGTTTACCTGGGGTTTAGTCTTTTGCATAGTCTTTGGGAACTCGGCGAGAAAATTGTATGGGGACAGCCAGCCAGTTCTGCAGGGTCCTGTGGCCTGTCTCCATCAGATTCATTTTTGAGGTATCATTCTTTTTATATTTTCGGCATTCAGAGGAAGCAGGTTGCTCTTTTCCTTTTTGTCTCATTCTTTTGGACAGAGAAACATCTGAGATGTTCTCGGAACGGGGTGGTACTAATTCTGACTCCCCTCATCATGATACCTAATTGTCTGTAGAGGCTTCAGAGAAAGCTGAAAAAATTGGGCTGATGTGGATCATGTAGGAATATATAGCGAAGCAGTTTGATCTCTGAAGCTCTAGGAATGGTAAAACAAACTCCCTATTACAGAAATATCTTGCTAGTTTCATCTGTGATTCTGTGGATCTCTATATTTAAACACTAGGTAATACTACAGATTAATTTTTTACATTCTTTTTGGTGTGTATGTTGGTAAAGCAAGATAGTGACTTTATGGCGTGAAGTGTTCTAAACCATTTAGAATCTGACCGCTGTTCCACTGAAGTGACGTTATGGGGAACTGATGACAGAATGCAGTGAACTGCTAATAGGTGCGCGTATGATACATGAACCATGTAGCAAATGCAGAGTAGCTCGGATAATGTGAAGCAGAACTCAGTCAGCTAGGAAAATTTTGTTTTCTAAATTTTCTCTACGCTTTAGTGACAGCATCTATATTACATAAGATTTCATTTTATTTGAGTATATCTATAGAGACAACCTCAGAATGGGGTTAGTCCCCTCACTGCCCCAGTTTTAAAAACTATTCATTTATAGCAGATAGAAAGGGTAGCTTGAGGAAACTTCGGGAAGACTTAGAAGAAAACAATAGGAAGTTAATATGAAGAAACTGTTAAGATGTCCCTTTAAAGGAAAAAATTTGTAATTTCTTTACCTTCAGAATGTAGACCAGGAGGCTGGATATGTATGGGAACTGCTTGCATTTTATGTGTATTATAGGGCTAGTATTTACTCTGTGATTTTTTTATGTTACCGTAGAAAGAAGTAAGACACTTCAGTAGAACCCAGCAAATGACCTGGTCTCATGTGACCCTAAGAACTGGAGATACTGATTAAGTCCCATTCCTGAAGTTTTTGTATCCTCTCCGGTTGAAGGAGTGGATCCTTAAGAGCTAGTCAAAATTAGACTTGGCTCTGAGTTTTATGTTTTTTGCCACCTTTCCCCCAGTTTTTTAAAAAACGGTGATGTGACCTTGTTGATATCATCATCATGGTCTAGGGGTTTTATTGGTCCATTGGATGGACCAACCCACTCAAGGGTGGAGGTTTGAGCTTATTAAGTTATACCTTGCTATAAGAAAAACCAATATGGGAAAATCTGAAACTTCGAAATGAAGTAGTTGAGACAATCACTTTATTAAACTGCTCCCTCTATGAATAACTACCAATCAGAGAAATAACAATTTGCTATGTGATGTTTAGGAATGTGATGTTTTCAGGATGCTATTGTTATATAAATTAAAGTACACCCATATGTTAAAAATTGTACACCCTTGTATAGAAAAATAAACTTTTATTCATTATATCTCTGATCTTTCTTGCAAAGTAACAGGATAAAATAGTAGATAATATTGCTGTTACCATCACTAGAAACAAACAAAAAAAGCATATGTATTTATAAAATTTTGTTAGAGGTATTATGCATTACAGTTAGTACTTGGATAAAAAGACTAAAATGTGGCATGGAGAGACAGATGTATTATTCTAGAATGACTTTGTAAGCTTTTCAAAGAAAAATTCATCATTGGAATTTATATAACTATTATGTCAATTCACATGTTCTCATTATCTATAAATTTTGGGGAGGGTTTTGATCATTTTCAGAATGTAAGACTCAGATATCCAGTGTATAGGAGCAGCTTCCATATTGGATATAGAATCAAAATATATACCTTTTTTTTTTTTAAAGATTGGCACCTGTTGCCAATCTTCTTCTCTTTCTTCTTCTTCCCTAAGGCCCCCAGTACATAATTGTATATTCTAGTTGTAGGTCCTTCTGGTTGTGCTATGTGGGACACCGCCTCAGCATGGCTTGATGAGCAGTGCCATGTCCGCACCCAGGATCTGAACTGTTGAAACTCTGGGCTTCTGAAGCAGAACTCTCGAACCATTTTTATTTTTTCCATACTTAGGAGAGGGAGAGAGGAAGGGAGGGAAAGAGACAGAGAGTTGTTGTTGTTGTTGTTTTTGTGTTTTTTGTGACGTAGCAGAACCATAGAGTAAATGATGGATTTGTTTCTTTTTCAGATATGAGGATCAATGATGCAGACTCCTGGGTTCGATGAAGCTGGGCATTTATAACTAGATTCATTAAGGAATACAAAGAAAATATTTAAAAGGATCAATAATGGTGTCTTCTGGTTGCAGAATGCGAAGTCTGTGGTTTATCATTATAATCAGCTTCTTACCGAACATGGAAGGTAAGATGCAGTTTAAATTTTATTTTTTAAATCCAGGAGAACTTAAACTATGCAGTCTTCTTTATATAGAAGTGGCTGAGATGAGTATTATTTTATTATTTTAGAAATAACTGTTAAAAAGATTTCTTGAATGTTGAATTCTTTTTTTGGCAGTTGAATTATTTTTGTTATACAGCTATATATTATGGAAAGTGCTAGAAGTCTGAATTTATATGTTACATAAATTCATAATCATTGTAAATAATTGTGAGAGAATTAAGTGAAAGCTTTGTTTTGGTATATATTTTGCAGTTATTGACTAAATTTATTCCAGTAAAATTGGAAGTATTTTGTGGCAACTCTTTCACTTCATCGTTCATTTTATCTACTTAAGTGTGGTCATAGTTCTAAAACTCCTAAATAAAATTTTTTCATATCTTGTGGAAAATGTTATTGTTTTGTAGTTCTTCCTTTTTAATGTTATCTATATCTTTTTGAAGACAGACCTGATTTTTAAAGAACTAAAACTCTTTTGAGACTTAATGAAATAATTGGAACAATCATTTATTAATTACTATATGGGTTTCCTTGTATCCATTATTTCTTTAGTCTTATATGTTATTTCCATGTGACAATAACACCCTTTTGGGTGCTTTTTACAGAGCAGGTCAGAAGTTAATATGGAGCTAAGATGTGTTAATTTTATAGCTAGTTGATAGTGGTAGTTATTGTATTTGGCATGAAGATATATTAATCTTGTAAAATCTGTGAAGAATACAAAATCTCTGAGAATGTTTGTAAAATATAGTGGAGTTTTTTGTCCCAATTAAATATTCTTGAAAATATTTTAGAATTTTAAGATTGGTTTTATATATACTTTTAAGCGATCCCATTCATAGCTATTAATAAAATGGTAGATGGAGAAAAGAGGCATACAGTCAACTAATAGATAGAAACTTATTATTTCATTGTCTTTGTAATAAGCTTAAAAATGATAATGTTTTAATTTTGCTGTAAGAATTTTATTTGAATTTCTTGTTCCCAAATTATGTTTTACCATTTTCTCTTTGCCCTCCCAGTCTTCTACCTTCAACATATTGACATAAATTAATATAATTCAAATAAATGGCAAATTTACAAGTATTTTAAATTGAGAATTTCTGTATTCAGGAAGTAAATAATGTTCACTTGGATCTAAGTCACACATGAAAGTTACAAATGGTTAACATTTTCAGAAGATACTGCTGTTTGCATCAGAATTGAAAGATGCATCAACTCTAACATTAAAATCTAATATATCTGAATGAATAGTACCATAATGATAAACAACAAGCAGAAACTGAGTTTAATAATATGAATTTCTGGCTTGGATTGTCATGAAAATCTTATGTATAGTCTCTAATTTTGCATCTGTTTTTTGGGGGGAAAAAGTAACTGAATTCCTGCTGTTCTGTTTGAATGTTTTTATACATTTAAAAAAGATTCCAGGTGTGGACCAATGGCTCATTAGTCCACATAATGAAAAATTTTCCAATCAAGATAGAGACCACTGTGCTGGCACAGTAGCTAACTCGGTAGGGGGCTAGCAGACAGAGACTTTTTCATGAGATACTGCAGTTTTATTTCTAGTGTCACCTATCAGGTCAGGATTCATATCTGCCGTTAAGAGAAATGTCATTGTTGGTGCATTAGGCCAGGGGGTGTTCCTTTTGAAGCAGTTTCCTCCTATGGGTATAAAGAGTCTGGGACGAATGCACACTGCTACCCGAGAGAGTATACGCAGTTAATGCACAGTTAGAACACTGATCCAGCATCATATGGTTTTGTCTTAGAAAAGTTTTACATGACACGATAGTCCTTTACTGCCAGAAAGCAGATAATGCTCTGTGAACACCTATAGAGAAAACCAATCAAAGTTAGGTATGAGAGCAGCGCAGGAAAGAAAATATAAATTTACCCAGTCAGCCGTTCAGTTATGTGATTGTTACCTTTTCACATCTTACAGAGCTGAGCACTTTTTTGTATCAGTTTCTGGATCCTTGCGGATAAACTCAGATAAGGGGTCCTGGTTGGTTTCCTCCCTCCTTCCTCCTTTATTGAGTGACTGAATGGAGCCGCATGCTTGGGATTTAAAAATGCACAAGGCACAGTTCCTGCTCTTCAGGACTCATGGTCTTGTGCAGGGGTCAGAACCTCAAATACCTGCTGGGGCCGAGCAGGCCAAGTGACTTCAGTGCACAGGCCTAGTGGAGGTCTGCAGCAGGCAGGAAAGCTCTCCACAGAGGTCCCAGGACTGCCGTTCAGTATTGAACCTGGTTTTGCCAGTCTTCTAACTTTTCAGTGCAATCCAGACATGAGATTTTTAGGTAATAGCAACTAATTAAGATTTTTTAAAAAAACCAGCCTGTGTGTTGTATACGGCTATGGACCATGCCTTTTCAGAGCTTTCTTTTCTCCTGTTTACAGCAGTGTTTTACCTTAATTTATGATTGTAAAGTCTTAACATTTTTAGATTTGTGTTTTTTTTATTTTTTTTTTTTTATTTTTTTTTAAGATTTTATTTTTTTTCCTTTTTCTCCCCAAAGCCCCCCCGGTACATAGTTGTATATTCTTCGTTGTGTGTCCATCTAGTTGTGGCATGTGGGACGCTGCCTCAGCGTGGTCTGACGAGCAGTGCCATGTCCGCGCCCAGGATTCAAACCGACGAAACACTGGGCCGCCTGCAGCGGAGCGCGTGAACTTAACCACTCGGCCACGGGGCCAGCCCCTAAAGATGTTATGTTTTGTGTGCATATTGAAGAGCAAATCACTAAGCATTTTTTGTTTTACCATGGTAAAAGCTAATTATATAAAGATTTAATTGTTAGAATTAGCTTACCTTCCTCTATCTCTTTCTCTATCTCTATCCATTAGTGTTTAAGAATCAAGTCTTATCCATTAAAATTTACTTGTTTTTACACAATAGGAAAAAAGTTTTATTTATTCTTAAAGTTTCTCCTCCCCTGTGTATTTTTTAAAATTATTTTTAGAATTTCCAAATAAAAAATGATTATAAAAGACCAAACTTCCAAAATATTTTCTAAGTTTTTCTTAGAATTGATTTTATTCCTAGAGAACTAACCTCAAACCCTTCAGAAATCAGTTTTGTTGAGAAACTGGTGTGTTTTGATTCTTTTGGCCAATTTTTATAAGCGTAGTAACCCACTGTGGAATCATGTATCAGTAAGTAGGAAAGTAAATTGAATTCTTGTGTCCTGGAGAATTAAATTATGCTATATATTGGAGCCCTGGCAAGCATAATTCAGACATGAAGGCTTGCTCAAGTGACAAGTTACAAATAATAGGACTTCTTCAGCAAAGTCAGTAATAGAGATTTCTGTGAGTATGTAATTAGATTTCATTAGTCAAAATTTTACTTAATTAACTCAAATTACGTTGTTGCTTCTCCTTATTTCAAAGAAAAATATTATGCCAGATATAAGTGGCAGATATGTAAAATACAGCTTTACATATTTATTTTATATACATCAAGAAAATTTAAGAACGTAGCTACAAAAATAATATCTTAGCAGTTTTTAGTGTATCTTTAAATTCTCTAAGAACATTTTACAGTGACTTTTGTGTTAGTAATATCTTATTAAAAACGATGTTCGACTGTGGGGTCTTTCCACTAGTTGGGTGGTAGGAAAGTAGATCAAAAGGTTAAATATGAATTAGAAAAAACTGTTTTTGGCATATAAATATTTCCTTCAGAATGGTCTGTAATTTAGTGGAAGGAATAATAGCTTTGCTCTCCAAGGTTAAACTTAAGACGGCTTAAAATAATTCAGACCTGTATTTCTTTTTTTCTTTCATTCTTTTATCTATACACACATATAATAAAATGTATAAAATTTTTATTTATGTGTGCGCACACACACAAACACACAACATGTAAGCTTCGCAAGGGCAGGGATCTTTTTCTTGGTTGATAGATGAGGCCAGGTGCCTAGAATAATGCCTGGCTTATAGTAAGCACTCATTCTGTATCCATCACTTGACTAGCATAAATCTTTGAAGGGGATCTTAATAGTTAGAGAGGAGACAAGAAACAGTTGTAATAACAGGGTGGTAAGTGCCATAATGATGATATTCACAGAGGCATTGGGATGAAAGGTGGTTAAGTGAGCGGGTGAATGTCAGGAGAGACTTCCAGCTGGAAGTCATGGTGAAGCTTGAGCTGAATCTTTGTATGAGCTGAATAAGCTAGTAAGGCAGTGGTGAGCATGGTAGTGGAGAAAAAAATCCATGGAAAGAGAACAGCCTGGATGTGGAATAAAGTATTGCAGTGGTTCTCAAACTTGAGGAGCAGTGGAATCACCTGGAAGGTCCAGGGTGGGGCCCAAGCATTTCCTTTTCTGACAAATTTCTAGGATGACACTGATGGTGCTCAGCATCACACTTATGAACCACCGTGGCGTTGTCTGTGTGTGGGCAGTTGTAGAGGTGCATGGGTGTGGATAACTTAAAAAGAAAGTTTTTTTAAAATTTTGATTTAATCCATTGATTCAGAAGTAGTGACCAGTTGTTTACTAGGAGTTACTATCTAATCCTTTTCATATGCCTCTTTATTCCTCTGATCAGGTCTCTGGGGTGTAATTTTAGGCTTCAAAATAGGATTTTTTTTTTTTTAACTCTCTTTTGACAGTGTACTGAGGAAGAAAAAAAAATTTGAAAACTCGGCTCCAGATTGGGAAAAAAGAATATATTTTCTGTTAAGGATAAATGTTACATTTTCAGAGCTCCTAAACCCTTGCTTCAGTTTGTCTCTTTTCATTTTGATAACCCTGTTCTTTTTCTTGTTGGGAATAACTACGTGGCCATTGCTATGATAATACTGAATTGACTTACTATAGGGACTTTAGATTTCCCAGTCTAGCAAAATTGGCTACTTTTGTTCATTTCAATATATTTGATTAGTTGACAGCTAGGAGGTAAATTTTCAGCAAGGTACATGGGGATTTGGCTGTATGACTCCGATT